TTTAAATTTAGAAAAATAATAAATTTGTTAAAAATAAAATCAAATATAGGACTACATACATGTGCATACATGCTGCTGCATATTTATTTTATGATGCTTTGGTTTGATCGAAATTTTCAAAAGAATTTGAATTTGAGTTTAAATTGGATTTGAAAATGTGTTAAGAAAAATAGGAAAAAGGATTTTATTTTCTTCTTCTTTCTTTCTCGGCTTTCAGCCCGAGCAGCCTAGCTCCCGCTCGGCCTTCTCTCCCTTCACTAGCCAGCTCGGCCTTACCACCATCCCCGGGTGGCCCACTTTCCCCGCAGCCCATCCCGCTCGCCGGCCCAGCAGCAGCCGCGCCCGTGCCGTTCCCCTCTTCCCCGTGTGTGTCGCTGCCAGTCCGGCCCCACACGTCAGCGGCACCTTCTTCCTCCCGCGCGTATCCGCGTCGGACACTATCGCCGCCGCCCGACTCCGCTCCGCCCACGCCTCGCCGCCTTGTCGTGTAGCCCAAGGTTCCCCGGACATTAAATACCTGCTGCCCGCGGCCGTGCCTCCCCATCCCAAGCCTCGGAGCCACAGCCACCTCGCCCGACTCCGCGCCGCCACGAAACCTAGCGCCGCCGTGCTCGCCATCCGCTCCGCCGCATCTCGTGTCGCCTCTGTGCCGTCTCCGACCACGAAAACTACATGGGTGAGTTCGCCATCTCCTCCTCTCGCTTCTCGAGCTCTTGGTTTACTCTGTCGTGGCCTCTAGGGCCCTAACCATGTGCGCCGACGAGTTTCATCGCCGCCGTCCATGGAAGCCGTCGTGGCCGGCACTATTCCGGCTGACCGGTCCGCTCTCTCTCTCCCTCGTCTAATCTGAGCCGTCTAGATTAGATCCAACGGCTCATATCTCACCATACCCCTTCGGCCGGCCTTTTTGCAAACAAGCCCTTGAAGTTTTCTATGTGTTAACCCGCGGTCCAAAGCGTATTCCTAAAATACGTTTTCTTCTTTTGCAAACGTAGTTTCTTCGGTTAGTTACAAAATTCGTTTTCATCAATTTACAGTTTTGCCACTAATCTTGTTTTAGCCATAAAATCTTCGTTTTAACACTGATTTGATCCGTTCAAGCTGCGTTAGGTTCGTAATTGAGTAATCTACATGTTCATTCTACTGTTAAGTATATTTTCAACTTTTAAAATTCGAGGTTAGATTTAATCTATTATTTTAATAAAGGAAATCTTGTTTAATTCATAACTTTTTCGTTTTAGCTGTAATTTTTGTGATCTTTGCGTCTGTGTGTTCATAGCGGGATGTAGATTCGTTTTATAAACTTTTCATCTTAATTTTATGTTGTTGGTGTACTGTTCTAATCTATAGTCATTGTTTGCTTTGCATGATTGCTTCTAGATGCTTGTATGTTGCTGTGATTATCGAGTATAGACAGTGAGCAATTCGTGGGTGATCAAGAGTACTACTTTGACGAGCAGGATCAACAGAAACATTTTATTCAAGGCAAGTATAGCATGGGATCATCCTTGTTTTCTATCAACTTTAATACATTTAATTCATGTTGCTTGTGTCATCTTGATAGGGATTCCCTAGAATTGAACTTATACCTCGTCTCCCATGGGATATGCATTGGGTAGCTTTGCTAGTGCTCAACTAAACCATGATCTTGTAATTTGACTAATGGTATATGCAATAAACACTAAAATATGACTTTTAGCAACTTAAAAACGGGGGGCTGGAGTGTTTAACTACTTTCTAAATGTTTTAGATTTCTCTCCCTAAGGACTTATCTGTAAGCGAACATCTAGGACTTATAGTACAGCTGTGAGGGCTATATGACTCTGGTTTTAGCTTAATATGATGACCTTTTCTAGCTTGTTAGAGATTACTTTTATGGTGTAAGAATGGCTTGCCGAATCGGGTATAGGACAGCCTTTACTCTTATGTGTATAGCTGTGATGGAATTGTGCCATTCGATAGGAGGTTTCTATATCTATTTGCCGAGTGAATCTAATGGTCCTAACTTTTTAGATAAACTTTTGAAAGGCTTCATAGTGAACCCTGTCTGCTCCCTTTGAAAGTGTTTTGGGAGTAATTAACCCGGGCATATGGGGTATCACGACTCACAGTGAGAGTGTACGACCTCTGTAGAGTGTAAAACTGGTATATCAGCTATGCTCACGGTCACGAGCGGTCTTAGACCCTTATGGAATAGATGATCACTAAGAATTATCCGTTTATGCTATTCATTATTGTTGTTTACATTGATCATGTGCTTATTATGGGATTAAAACAACTTGTTGCTACTCTTATGCTAAAATTATGACAACTAAAAGCTGAATGCTGTTAAACCTGTGTCAAACCTTTTGAGCCTCATGAACCCCATGTTATATTTGTTGAGTACGACACGTACTTACGCTTGTTTATTTTTATTATTTGGATAAAAATTACGGATGGGTAACAGATGGCTATGGTAATAACGACTTTCCTGAGGATTACTAGACTTGTGGTCAACCAGTTGACGTCCCTATGATATAGAGCTTCCGCAAGAGATTTTTCTTTATACTTCCGCTATATTTATGCAGGAATATGTCTTATTATTCGTGATGTAATAAACACTTGTGATGGGACTATCTATAATTTGTCGGCTTATGCGTGTGACTGATCTCTGGGCGCACGTAAGATTATGTATTCCATTTTATCCTTAAAATCGGGTGTGACACTCACCTATAATATGATAAAATTGTGCTTTGTAGTACACTATTGCTGTATTTTTCAAGGCCAAAATCGTTTACGAGTAACTAAATGGAGTGCATATGCCCTGTGCCGTCGTATCTTACTGGTGGCTTTTCTTGGGCCTCCCATTTTGCACGATAAGAGAAACCGCACCAGTGGATGCTTGATGCTTCCAGATATTACGTAAATGCGAGTAACTGTGATCGTACAAATTAGATGCGAATGTGGAACTCAGATCACTGATAGCTACACCTCTCCAAACACCAAATTCCTTGTTCCAATTGCAGAGCACCAACAGAATATGATGTTCCAAGGATGATGACATGCGTTAGATATCAAGTTCAATTTGTAAAGTAGTCATTTCTTCCCGACAATAATGTGCACAAATGCAGCTTGATGACAAAATTAAAATAGCAGCGAACTTCTATTATTCATTGACACCCGAGGTATATATGGTTTCTACTTTCTACTCTTTAATTTGCATCTTCCTTAGTTGGGGTTCATACATTTTATTTTATATGAGTAGCAGTTATCAATAGAAACACGTCAATACCCTAATTAACGCACAAAGAAATCGTTGAGTGCAATGGCGGCAACCACCCTTACTTTCCAATAATATCTTAAATGGTACATGGTGGATAGTGCACACGGCTCATATATATAGTTTCCCTTTGCAATAAACATTATATCGCTTTACATGTGGGGAGTATTAAGCATAGCTTAATTAGTCATGAGGGAATATGTGTGGACTATGGTTCAATTCCTTTTCCGACAATGTATGGACAAGTGCAGCTTGATGTGATAAAATGAAAATAGCAGCGCACACTTCTCTATTCATTGACACTCGATGTATATATGTATGATCTCTACTCTTTCCATCTTCCTTAAGTTTGCCGGGGTTTATACATTATTATCAATAAAAACACGACAATAACACGTTACTACAAAGAAATCTTTGGGTGGCAATGGCAAACCATCCTCACCTTCCAATAATAATATATCTGAAATGGTACATAGGTAGTGCACGACGATACTATACTTCCCCTTTGCTACGAACTTATACGTCTATGGGGATATGTGTCAAGTTAAAGTACAAAGGATTTTGAGAAGCAGCTTCGGGTGTTTAGCACATGGGGACTGATGGCTTCATCAATCTCAAGACTTATCAGCCTAATCTATAACAAATGTTTACACTATATGTTTGTAAAAGTACAAAGTGTTCTTAACCTGCACATAACTTATATATACTCCCTCCGTTTTATTTACATGTCATATTAGTTTTGTTCAAAGTCAAATATTTATATTTTTTGTCATTAATTTAAAAAATATATAGGTTCACCGTACCAGACCTATGTTTTTAATTAGATTCACTGTGAGAATACTTTCATAATATAAATTTGTATATTGTAAAACTATAAAAAGGATAATATTATTTTACTTAGGATAAACCTAATGTTACATGTAAAAACAAACAGTGGGGAGTACATGTAATTTCTTACTCCCCAATCACATTGTCATGGACATCAAGACAGTAGTTATTTTTTTCTAAGAACATCACAACAAAAGTATTACCATTAATTCATAAATAAAAAATAGAAATTTAGATAATATTATTAAACTGTTTAAACGGGAAATTTAGACATACTAGCAAAACAATACCATACATTTCTTTTTTTAAAGTTAATTAAAATATGCAAAAAGGTATTAATGTTTAAGTTTTCCAGTACACCGACTACTTGATTCAAACGGTTTAATTAATTTGTTGCTTATGAAGTACTCCAATTTCAAATTACAAAAGGTTTTGACCTTTCTAAACACATTGCTTTTACTATGTATATGGTAGATATAGTGTATAACTAAATACATAGCAAAATTACATATTTAGAAAAGATAAAACGTCTTATAATAATTTAGAACAGGTGTACGATTTTTTTCTATCGAGGATTTTGCAGAACGGCGACCGTCGACAAGTGCACACCGTCCCTCGGTCCCTGCCGAGACAGGCGCGACTGCGTCCCGAGCGACAGGCACACCGTATCAAGCGGAGAGTTGAAGACCTCGGAGTCGGAGAATAACAAACACAGGGCCGGGGGCGCGCCGGGCGCCGCCCGCCGGCAAAGCTCCCCCGACCCCGACGCGACCCAATTCCTGGCCGCAAGGCACGCGCCCCAGATGAAGCCACCACCACCACCACCAACGCAATCTCTGCGAGGCAGCCCCGGCCCCGAGAGGAACCTTGGTCAGCATCAGAAGCTAGCTTTCGATCCCAGAGAGGAAGAGGAATGGCGGCCGCAGAGGGGGCGGTGATCGCGTGCCACACCAAGGATGAGTTCGACGCCCAGATGGCCAAGGCCTACGAGGCCGGCAAGCTGGTACGTACGCGCGCGGCCCCGATCGATCACCATCTTGTTCCTGTGATGCCACAGCTGATCTGCGTCGACGTTTTGCACCTGCAACAATTCTACAGCCTCTAACATTTTGAGCTTAATTTGTCAACCTGTTTCTTTCACCGTACCTGCCCCTCAGGTGATCATCGACTTCATGACCTCCTGGTGCCATGGTTGCCAAGAGATAGCCCCGGTGTACGCGGAGTACGCCAAGAAGTACCCTGCCGCTGTCTTCCTCAAGGTTAATACTGAGGAACTGGAGGTGAGCGAGCGCAGTGTCCCGAAGAATCCCCACACATAGGCGATCGATTCACCCAATCTTGCATTTGATTTCAACCCCAACCCAACGCCTTCGTCTTACGCCGTCGTACTGATCATGCTGTGTTTCCTTGTTCTACACTACACGTACAGGAAGTTGCTAAGAAGTACAACATCCATAGCTACCCGACCTTCTTCTTCATCAGGAACGGCGGGACGCTCGAGAGCTTTGTTGGTGCCGATCCGGAGAAGCTCGAGGACACCATCAAGAAGTACTACGTCGTCGGAGCTAGCTCCTGCCTCGGCGTCCGCCTAAGGAGATAGTACTACTGGCAAATAGCATCACCAGTCGTTGTCAATAAGGGCCAACAAATAAATGGCGTGCGTGCAAGCACTTAGCAGTAGGCATCGCCATTATCGATCAGCAGTTTGGTCAATCTGATTAAGTAGTAATTGTGTACTATGTTCAGCTCGGAGTCGATATGTTGGCTCCCGTGCTGGAACGGTTATCGATCTGATGAATACAATATGTATGGATATACTTGTGACTGGGATGCAATAATCTGGATGTCTGCCTTCATTTCTCTTCGAGTTTGACTGAATGAAGAATGAAATACATGACGATGACAGCGCTAAGCTTGTGTCCTTTATTTGCCCCAGGCTCATCATCCCTTTCCCTGCACATAAGCTACTAAGCAATATGGTGACAGTGATTTCCTGTCAACGAATGATCGTCGTCTCAAACCTTACCAATATTACAGATACATGGATTTTGTAGACTCAAGAAAAAGATACATGCATGGATTTTGTTCATCAAGATATGTATTCGATCAAACTTTACTAAAGATGGATCATTGTTTTCCATTAATATCTCAAGCTAAAAGTGTTAAAAAATGAAAGGAATATTTCTTCCTATGTGATCATGTATAGTGCTATAAAATTCCTGGACCAACACGCGGGCTATCATCTAGTAAGATCAAAAGATGAAAACCAAATATGAATTCGCTATGTCACAGAAATGATACAATAAGAAGATATAATCCTTATACAACTTGAACTTAGATTTCAACTAAATACATATCAAAGACCCATATATAAAGATGCAGTACAAATTAAGGATCATATATTCAGACGATAATGATATATGACGATCGTCCGGACAGGACCGGACGCACCCAAAGCCGCGCCGAACCGACCCGCCCCTACCGCACGCCGTCTATCAGACACTGTCTCCCGCACTCATCCTTATCCTCTCCTCGCTCACTCTCGCAGCCGTTCCTCTCCTCACTCGCTCCCGCAACCGGGACGGACGCCACGCCCAGTCGCTGCCGCCCTGTCCACCCGCCGGCGCTCCCTCCCTCCCTCCCGCGACTCCATTGGTACCCCGTGGCCCCAGCGACACGGCTCCTGCTCCTCCCACCGTAGACGAGGACGACGGTGGTGGCTCCAACGAGGTAGGTCAATTCTTCTCTGAATCTAAGCCCTCCTCCTCCTCCTCTGGATCTGAGCACTCCTCCTCCTCCTCCTCCTCCTCCTCCTCTGGATCTGAGGGACGCGGCGGTGGCTAGGATTCCGGCGAGCTCTGTTGCAGTAGCCTTGTGTTGCTGTTGCAATAAGTAATATTTCTTTGTTGCATTAGTTTCTTTTTTTTTGTTTCTGATGTTGCATCTCGTATTGCAATAGCCTTGTTCTAATGTTGCAACAAGTAATATTTTTTTGTTGCATTAGTCTTTGTCCTGATGTTGCTTTCTCGCATTGCGCTTTGTTGTGTTGTTGAAGTAGCCTTGTTCTGATGTTGCAACAAGTAATATTTCTTTGTTGCATTAGTCTCTTTTTCTGATCTTGCATCTCACATTGCAGTAGCTTTATTCTATTGTTGCAGACGCCTTGTTCTGATGTTGTAGTAGACTTGTTCTAATGTTGTAAACAAGTAATACTTCTGATGTTTGCATCTCACATTGCTCCGTGTTGCAAGGTGATGGAGCACGGTGGGGATAGGGCGTGGAGGGCAACGGGCGTGCAGGGGATGGCGGCACGACGGGGGATGGCGACGCGACGAGGCACGACAGCGCAGCGGTGGACGGGCCGCACGCAGGGGCGCGCTCGTTTTCAGACGTAGGGGAGCGCTCGTTCTATTCATATCGGATAGGTGGTCCCGTGGGGCACGGCGGGAGGATGAGCCGCGGTCGAAATCAAAACGTTACGTGGATTAGGTTCGTCCGGACGCACCACTGAAGCCGGGTGTCCGGGCGTTAGTTGCGTCATATATTCATATCATAATATTACTAACGGGATTGCTGGACGCCCCTAGCAGAGGCACCCCACCACGTCACCCCTATGTGAGACCTCGTTAGGAAAAAAAAGTATGAAGGCTAAAAATTCTCATAATAAATTCATATGGATCTAGCCATCAAGTTCTCTTTTTTTTTTGCGCAAAGATCCGGCCACCAATTTCATAGACTCTAATCACCATTCACCAATGACAACGCTAGCCAGTAGATCTATTCTTAAACTCGTGGGCCTTGCTAGTGTTGGCTTGGAGTGATTTGTGGGCACTAGGCCTAGTGGGCTCATGAAGAAATTGGAACAAATGGAACCGGATGGCAAGCCACAACCAGGCCCGTCTCTGGGGAGGTGCACCGGGTGCGACTGCTTTGGGCCCAGTCCACGGAGAGGCCCAAACCTAGGTATGCAACCCCCAATAGGCCATTAGCAAATATGGCCTTCCCAGTGCCCAAAGCCGACGAAAGCCCAAGCAGGAAACTTGAAACATTCGCGCGAACTCTGCTGCCCTGTCCTGGGCCTCCTGGCCCACTCCGTCCGTGATCCGTCGCATCGCTTCAGTTCCCTGACGCGTGCATGCTCGCGACACTGCAACAGAAGTCACCCTCGCTGATCACCGTCAGTCCGTAATGGCACCTCTCCTCTCGCCGCGGCCTTGGACGCTCGAACGGACACACGGATGGCAATGGGACTGGCAGTCTGCCACACCGGAGTCGGAGTACTGGCCACAAGGCCACGGGAACGAGACACTCAGGCTGCCGATCAGCAAGTTTGAGGAATGCAATCGACGTAATTTCCTTGTTCAGTTTTCACACAATTTAATCTTCCTAATTACTCCATCCGTACATAAAAGAATATACTTAGTAGTTTTTATTTTTCAAAGAGCCAAGCGATTAAATATTTGATCACTCCTAGTGCTATATAAAAAAAAAAATACTACTTCTTTCATTCCAAATTTTAAGTCTTCCTCAGACATAGTTTTTATATGTATCTAGACATAATTCCTCGCAAAAAAATGTATCTAAACATAATATATCTTTAGATACATAACAAAAAAATCTACATACCTAGAAAAGCTAAACAATTTACAATTTGAAATAAAGGGAGTAACATTTATGATACAAAACAAGTACCATTAAACTAATTATGAAATATATTTTCATGGTAAATCTAAGTTGGAGACATAAATATTAATACTATTCACTACAAATTTGGTAAAAAATTAAACTATTTTAACTTGCACAAATCTCATAGTTTTATTACTGTGTGGACAAAGGGAGTTTGTAGTAGTCTAATAGGTTACATATACATACTGGTAATTCATATAGTCATATATTTTACTAAGAAGGATATTTTGAATACTCTTGAGATTAACTCTCGAAGGAAACGTAAATTTTGAGATCATGTCCCGATGGCAACAAGTGGAAGAGTCCAATTCAATATAAATTTATGAGAATGCTAAAGTGCAATGGGATTGTAATAATGGAATAACACCTTGCTGTTCCTGTGTTGCTATGTATAGTGATTGTAATCTTGGAATTATTCTATATTCTTGCTATTCTTTTTGAATTTGAAATGCTCAAAATCGGCTGCATCTGCATGAGCCTCTTCTTGCTGGCTGCAGTAGCTAGGCTGTGAAGTAGCAGCCGATCAAACTGACTATTTGGCCGTCGTTGCAACTACAGTAGTTGGATAGCAGCCCCAAATAGCATGAGTTGTGGCAATTTATAACATTTTAAAAGAAAATTATAACCGTATTTGCTAAAAAATAACCATTTTTAAAAATAATGAAAAAGATAATAATGGTCAAGTTTCAAATACGTTGACCGGCTCGTTTGTGGAATGTAGGAACACGAATTTTTCTTGTCGCACATACGGAGTATTTTGCACCACGGCGGCCGTCGACAAGCACAACCGTCCCGATTCCTGAAACTTCGAGAAAACACGGCAGCCGGCCGACGAGCGCGGTGACGTGCGTAACCCCGCGCACGCGCCCCGCAATGTGGACCCGCCAGGGCTTTTCGGTCATTTTCCATCCCAGTCGCTGCGCCTATAAATGCTGCGTGCACGCGCCCCGGATGAGGCCACCAACGAAATCTTGCAATCCAGCCCTCGTTAGAAACCTTAATCCACAGAAGCTTTCGATCCCAACGAGGAGGAAGAAGACAGAAATGGCGTCCGAGGAGGGAGTCGTGATCGCGTGCCACACCAAGGAGGAGTTCGACGCCCAGATGGCCAAGGCCAAGGAGGCCGGCAAGCTGGTACGCGCCCCCCGCGCCTCGTCTTCCCCGATCCTCATCTGTCGTCTCCTTGTAATTTCCCCCGTGTTTTTGTTTGGAGGAAAGCTGTTGAGGTGATTCGTCGCGCGCGCTAACGGCTAGGTTTTACTCGATTCGTCTTTGGTTTCCTTGTATGCGGTCGCCCCCCGTGTTCAAATTTGTTCGGAATCGCATCTGAGATGCTCGCGTTCGGGCGATTTATAGGGTGTGGCGCGTGTAGTGGGGAAGATTTTGGTTGGTCGTTGCCGATTTTGGCAAATACTCCGTACAATCCAGGGGATGCTGTTGATTGATGTACCCTAAGAGGATTGGATGTCCACGGTGTGCGCAGATTTATTGGTGGAGTGGTGATATGGGGATGCAACGAATTTATTGCACATGCTTTTCGAATCGATCCCCAATTTGTAGCTGAATCTCTGGTGGTTATTTATATACTAGTAGTCATAGGCGTGATTTAAATTATTTTGCGTACGGTTGATCTCTATGTATTGAACCGGAAACCCATATGAGCCTTGCGGTAATTTTGTCTCACTGATTTGAGCTGATCTGTATTTCCACTTAATTTACGAAGTAGTAGATGAATAAACTTAGCTATCATAGGAAGTCATTTAAAATTTGGGGGAAACTTAGCAGTTACAGATGTTATGAACCCATGATGTCATGTTGAAATTTGGAACACTTAGGGAGCTCGTTTAAAATTTGGGGGAAGGCTTAGCAGTTACAGATGTCCTCTGTTGATGTCATGTTGAAATTTTGTGCACT